AGCTTGTTAACAATTAAGAGAAAACAATTCTATTGGCCAATACGTTGAGACAGGTAAAGGAAAACAAAACAAACCTGAGTATTGTTTCCACGGTGATAAGATGCTCCCATTGATCCCCCAGATCATATATGTATAACAACCTGTCTCCTTCCTTCTGTAACAACAATCCAAGCTGTAATTTCTTGTCATCAAAGAACTTGTAACCATTACAGAAGACTAACATGCTATCAACAGCGGTGGATTTGTTTGGTCCAAACACCGCGCCATCTGATTGATCCACAAAGCAGTAAGAATGGTAATCATACTGTTGTGTGTTCCAACCTACTATATGTAGCAGTATCTTATGCAAAGTATGCAGAGATATTCCACCTGTGAAATGAAAATAAATAAAACATAAATTCTAAAATATCAGAATATTACAGTATATTTTTCACATTCTTCTTCATGCCAGCAATAATCGAGTTTATCCATGAAAGAGTAAACTGCAAGATAGTCGGTATGGTTTTAATGGTCTAAATTTCATCATTGCTACTGATTACATACTATCAGTATTTTTAAATGAAAATAGAAATACAGAGAAAAGATATACATGTAAAAAATAATATTAGCAGATCACATATAAGCTCAAAAAAAAAAATGAAAATGCTAGCCGTATTGGCAACATCCAATTGATTATTATCATAAAATTGCATGGGTTAGGCAAACTAGTGACATACTGGCCTACTTCATTCACAGTTCAGTGGCCACCTGTAAAACATAGCAGTCAGATTAGTTCACAAGTTGTTTGAATACATATTTTGGTTTTTCTCTTCAAGACTTTACTTGTATATTTTCTTTGCACAATTCACAATCTAGGATAAAGTAATCTTTATTCCCAACTACTTTCAACATTGCATTTATGACAGTCTATTCTTTTCATTTATGAGTGCTTTTTTTCTTCAACCTAATTTGATTTCCAAATTGTGGTCACTGATCCTAAACCTAATCACAATTCTTCTCATGTTGTAGACTTTTATTTCAATTTACCTTCTTGGTAGGTATTTTTTCACTAACCATTGGTATGATTTTTATTTGTTTTTGTTTTGATTATTTCGAAAAATATTTAATTGTTCCTTCCAGGACTATTTATACTCATTTATTAATTTATGGTTCACAATTCTTGAGGATTTATTTACCGTACTAGGCAGTGTTGGTGCCCGGGGTCCTCAACTCAAAAAATCAAGATTTTTTAGGCGTGGGCACTTACCCGAGCAGCCCCCCTGGAAAAGAGTGAAAATGACAATTTTAATTCATCATGTGACATCTTTGAGGGAAAATAAAATTACGAAATTAGTTGCATCATCATTGACTTTTACAATGAAGAAACAGAAATGATCACAAAAAATATGCACATTTTATGATAATACAAATTACGTACCACCCGAATTTAAAATATTAGAGTCTGTTGGATCACAGTCAAAGTCAAAATCTTCATCATTATCTCTACTGACAAATGTATTGGATCGTATGCAAACTCTTGATGAAAAGCACTTTACGCCATGATGTATTTGCATGATTTGACCTGCAGTAGCGTCCTTTGATCTAATGGGTCAATTCTGTTATTAACCAATCAGAATGCTCTATTGTACCAATGCAATTGCTCGAAAATTCCCGGAGATTTTTTTGGTAACACAATGCGAAGTGAATTGACGCTGTCAAAGTACGATCTTTTAAAATTTGGAGAATAAACGACATGGTTTTTTCAAAAAACTGATAACCAGCAATTTTTGATAGGTAAACTGAATATGGCACGATATATTCACCGCATTTTACTTTTACATGTATAAGCAGGTCATTGTCAAAGCCTAGTTTATGCACGATTAGTGTGGTCTATGCATTCACAACATATTCTCTGCGGTCAATATCCACGCTGTATCATATAAAAATGATTAACAGTATTTGTTAAGCAATGAGAAAAGACCAAATTTTAAATTAGTTGCATTTTGAAGGGGTGTGCGCTTTGCTGAATGTGACCCCAAAAACGGAGAGTGGGTGTATGGTTTTTTGGTAGTGTGTTTAGTCTGTACCAGTATTTTATTTGAACACTTCCTGCTTCCTGCTTCCCAATGAGATGCAGAATTGTTCGAGTTACCAACATAGAGTTGAGGGGAACATCCTCATTTAGTAACTCAAACTAATTAAATATTAACTGAACTTGAGTTACAGGCAACATAGATTTGTTGTTTTCTTTAACATTTAAATTTAGGAACTTAAATTTTAATTAACTGATAACTGAACTTCGAATTAAGGAAAACATTAAACAAAATTAAAAAAAGTTTGGTTAACTGTTAATTGAACATAGTTACAATTTCAGTGTTCTCCCTAGGATACAAACTGCATGGCGGTGCCATCATGCTGCCCCGAGATACCATTATGTTTGTCTGACACGCTCAAAATCATTACTGCCATGCTTGATTTCCGCACATTTACTAATGTCTTTGATTTCCGCAGTTATTGTTCAATGAGACTCATCCTCACTGTTCCTTTGAGCCATAAACAATAACCAATAGAAGTCAGAAGGTGGCTAAGTTGGCATGGGTTGGCATGTACAGTACTTGTTGCAAGATGTAGTCTATTTACTTAATGCACTGATCATGCCACAGGCGATGTCAACTATAAAACGTTTGAAGAATAGATTATTCCAATGTCAACAATAAATCGTAAATGAAATCGGAAAAAAAAATATTGAACATGCTTTTCCATTGTAACTGTTTTTTTTGAATCGGTAAAAGATCACAAATTCAGTCTTACTGATCACCACGACATCCGTTTGAAGAAATGCCGATTCCAATATTGAAAATAACACTTTTATGCCACTTTGTTACACTTTCATTTCATAGTGTCGCTTATTTGTGGTAAAATTTGGGCAATTGTTTCAAATGGCGCTTATTTTAAGTGCTTCAAGTTATAGTACCTTTCAAACCATTGTTCTTGCTCAGTTCTGGTGAAACATTATTGGCAATATTTTACATTACAGTCTGACGCTTAGTCACTGTAGCCTTTATTTTAAATACAATGTACTAAGTAAATGACCTGTTTTCTGACAGTCTAGAAAGTTGTACAAAAAGTATCATTCTTTAGAAAACATTCACAGTTTACCATATGATCAACAGAAAAATAAAACAAACACAATTGCATTGCTTAGTAGTAAATGATCACGGTAGCGAAATCTGGTCATGCTGCATTCCACGGTTATGATTATTACTCAATAGTAATTATAATAACGTACTGAAAATAAAATGCAAGTAAAATTCAACTTAATTTCATCGTAAGCGAACGATTCCTCTCGCATGTAAACGCTTGATGTGATACGATATCCACCATGCTTGCTGTGTACAAGTTGACCTGAAACGTGTTCTTTGACCTGATAGGTCAAATTGTTAATTAACCAATCAAAATGGTGGATGATGCCAATGTGATCAGATTACCATAGCTTATTTAAATAATATATGTTAATGTATGAACGCAACACGGAAGAGATTTGCTGATGTTTGCGATCTTTAAGCTTTGATTTTGGTGGGAAAACAGCATGATTTATATTTCAAATCAAGAAATTGGTCATTTTCAAAAGTCAAACTGAGCATTTTAAGAATAATTTAAATTGTTTACTGTGAAAACAGCTCATTTGAAACAGAACATTTTCGTGTCGTTTTATTTCGTGTTTATAGACTGCGAAATTCACCAAATTAAAAACCACGCGAATATTTTCTACTCCTACAGTAGGCAAAAGAGACATGTTTCAAGATAATATAGACCGATTTCTTAAAATTAGTTAGAAACAAAACCAAATTATTTTGCATAAAAGCCTATCGTACAGTAGCATCTATTGCTACTAACCGGTAACCGGTAGTCGATTAGCTGGCGCCCAATTTACGATCATTATGTGCCAAAATATTAGGGTTGTACAAACAGGAGGGCGCCATCCGATCTGAATGGATCGTCAATGCAACAACGTCCATTTTATGAACATATTAAATAATTTTAGCAATTTCTTTACAGAATAATCCTCAACAAAACTTAGAAACATCTCGTAGAAAAATACAGGCCCTAAAATAATGTTTAGTGCAATACAATTCAACCGACAGCCAGTTTGACGCCACATTTTCTTGCTGGAGCCCATGATTTTATTGCATTCAAAATTGTTCCATTTCAAACTGCGCATACACACACTGTGGTTTCTCAAAATGCGCTAATTAGGTAACTTGTCACTGAAAAAAGTCACTGAAAACATTTTGAGCAACAGTACTAGAGTGAAATATAAACGTGCCTCTGCATTCTCCATAAATTTCGTAACTTGCTATGATAAAGAAAAAACCTGTGGTTAACAGTTTGCTGGAGTCTGATCAAAAACGTGTCTCAAAAAACATCTTTTTTCAGTTCGTAAGGATAGAATCAGTCAATTTAGAACTATCATGTATGCTATCAGAAAACATTTTTGCACAATTTTACTGAAAAGAATTTTTGTATTGCTCATGATATTAATTTATGCAAATGAGACAATTATTTCCACCAATCGTGTCAGGCAACTTTCCCCCCTGAAATACAATATCTTTGTTAAATGAAAGGCACTTGTGGGTGTGAATTGACTAATGTTAACTATATAATAAATGCATGGCAAAATGATGTCAATTCGAACTACTAAATTGGGGAGGGTAATCAACATTCAAGATCAAAACAACCTTTAACAAA